TACTCTGTTTGTATGGCTTTAATTTTTTGTTTCTTTTTGAAATTTAATTTTTGTTAAAAATTTATGAGATTTTTTAATATATTGATAAAATCTTATTTTGAAAATGAGATTGCAAGCCTTCTAATATGTTAATAAGGCTTTATTTTTTATTTTTTTTTATTTTTCACACATTTTTATCGAACACAATAAATGAATAACAACTAAAATACAAAGTAAAAAAAAAAAAATGGCTTTAGAATGTGTCTTGACTCAGCTCAGAAGATGATTCCATAGGTGGCACTCAGAAACAACTTGGAGTCAGCTTGAAATCGGCTTAACTTAGTTCACTAATCATAAACAAAATGACGTCATTTTGATTAAGTATAAATACCCCAAAAAAATTAGAATTCTGCATTTTTCTCCTATCTCTCTCTTCAGATTTTCTCCGAACTCTCTTTCTCTCCCATAATTCCTGATCATTGCTGTCGATCATGATTTCACAGCCAGCCACCGTACTCCACCGTCATCCGATGTTCGATGGAGCTTGAATTTTTACCATCACTTCCTCTCAGTCCGCTCATCTCAGATCTGAACTCGAATTTTTGAAAATTGTCCACCGATGGCCTAGATCCCAAGCAAAGTCACAGTATTCCACCACAGTTTCCACTTCTTTTCACTGTTTAATCAAGTTGATTTTTGACTACGTCAATCACTTTTCGTAGCTCCACACTTCCACCGTTCCAGATCTCCCAAAATTCCATTGCCAACATGACTTGCTTACATTACCGCTGCTAGAGGTGCTCTCTTTGTCCTTTTCCTTCTCTTTGTTTGATTCCTTCTTTTTTATTTTGCTTCATTTCTTCCTTGGATTTGCATTGACAGTGTATAGGCTTTTGGTGGAGAAAGGATTTGGGTGCAGCTAGGTCTCAGCAGCAACATAGATGGTGGTTCAGAGATGATGAGATTATTGTTTGTTTATGGTTTTGATAATTATTGGTTAGGAAAGATTTTTGGCTGTTGATTATTGTTGGTGTCTGATTGCCTGTAATGATTTTAGACCTCCAAAAGCTCATCGTCCGTCATGGGTTGTCGTCGAGATAAAATTTTTGCAAATTTTTGTAACTTTACGTTTATTGATATTTGACTGCTATGTTGCTTGGGTTTGATGATATTTTGCTTGTTATCTTGTGGTGTATTTGCTAGATATGGGTTGTATTGCATGGCTTTGGGATTTTCTTAGTTGGAATTTTGTTGATGAATTTGCTTCTATATTTATTGCTTATCTGTTTAATGTTTTTCATGCGCTTGCCGATTGCCCCTCGCTTTCAATTTTTGTCTATGACTGAAATCTTCAAAAATCCATACTGCTTGTTCCTTTTTTCATTCCTAATGAATCAACGCCAAAACCGAAAAAAAAAAAACAATTCCAAAGACTAACTCAAGTTGAAAACAAATCACTCAAAATTTCCTCTCCTTTTATTATTGCCTCTCGAGTTCCTCTTACTGATTTCTGTTTGCTATTTTGTGTTTCTGGATTTTTTCACTCTGATTTCCTTTGCTGTTCATTGCTTGTAAACTACAAGTTCATTTAAAGGGAAAATTTAGCAGTCCCATTTTGGTTAAGATTGAATTTGTTTCAACCAAAGCTAAAGATTATCCCAAAATTAATCTATATCACTTCAGTGAGGCTTATCACCGATATCACCAAAGGATAGCCTTACCCAGATCTCAAACTTCAAGTTATTTGTTTTTTTTTTTTTTTTGAAATAATCGAATAATATGAATATATAACTAAAGATAAAAAAATATAAAGGAAAAGGATAAACAAGATGAGAAAATTAAAAATGAATTTAATAAAATAAAAAAAGATAAACAAGATAAAAATATTTACAGATATCTACAGTTGGGCTTGAACTCATTCAGGCCCCGGATTAAACGGGATATTTACAGTCAATAGTATTAATTCGATTTGCCTAAAAAGTAGTGAGCAAAGATAATAGCACTTTTGTTTTGTTAACTAATATTTAAATGTATGTAAACATAGAATACACATTAGTTTTTTAAGTATTTAAAAGTTTGTTTTAATTAAGTCAAATTATGTTACCAATCTTTGTATTCTTGAAAATTTAAGATTTAATTCTACTAATACAACTTATAAAATTTAAATTTTCATACTAAAGTAATTTGATTATTTTAGTCCAGTTACTAATTTTGCCAACATTCCTTTGTTAAATATACAAATTTATCTGTTAATTTTCTGACATGATCGTTGACTTTTATTGACGTGATATTTTAATATAATAACAAATATTTTTTTACAAAATTTATAATTAAAAATGTAATCAATCAAAATTGACCAAAAAAATATAATTCAGAATTCATTCAAGCAACCGGTAACCATCATTCAACCTAAAATATGACAATTAGTTGCATTGAAATGTTATTAAAATCTATACAAAAGCTCTTCTTATTCTCCTTTACAAATCTATTGCTTAGATTTCTTTAAAAATCTTTTTTTTTTCAAAAAATCAAAAAACCCAAATCTAAAATTCAAGATCTACCCCTATCACCTCCATCAACCACCAAACATTCTTTGAGCCTTCTCCTCACTTCTCTAAGTTTTGGGATTTGAAAAATATTTTTTTAAACCCTTGAATCTAAAACTCTAAAAATCCTAACTTTTACTCGTAGAAGCTAACAAACAACTTGAAGAGAACACTTCAATTGATACTCAGTTCTTCGCCAAACCCAACTCAACCTTAAAAAAAATCAAAGAATATGTTAGCATATTTAACTAAGGAATATTGATAGAATTAGTGATTAAACTAAGATTATTTAATAAATTAAGTATGGGGATTAGATTTTTATGAACTATAAGGACTAAATTTCATATTTGGTAAGACTATATAGATTTATGACATAATGTGACTTTTTAATATAAGGACAAAAATTTATCAAATACACTAATAGTGGAGTTTTTTTAAGTCTACAAATGAGATTAAGATGGTAACACATGTACATTAATGTATATTTAAAAAAAGAAAAAAAAAAGAAAATTTAAAAAATAAACATATATCACCATCTTAACCTCACTTGTTAAGTTAAAAAATTTCATTATGAGTGTGTCAGATAATTTATCATACAAAGACATTGTGATTTTCTTTTATTGGTTTTTAATTCTTTTTGTAAGGTATTCACTTTTAGCTAAAGATTTAGTTCTTACTCTATAATGTATTCAAATATAATATATATGAGAAATTTATAAAATAGACAATGTACGAGGTAGCATAGTATAAATAATTTCATTATAAAATAGATTAAATTTAAATATGATGAAATTTAAATCTAAGATTTCAAAGTTTCAAAGCTTTCTCTTAACATTAAGCCAAAGTTTTATTGGCGAAAAATATATATAATGGCACTATTAACATCTAATCAAGAATTCTTCTATAGCTTAATCTTAACCTATGATAATCAGTTTTAGTCAATTTCACCCACTAGTCAAGGTGAAATTAGACCCATTGATGTCAATGACGCAAGCATTGGCATGGATTTATTTTCATTACTAATTACTTTAATTCAATTTCCATGTAAAGGCACACACATAATGAAGCATAGATTTTATCCCACATATAAAACAACCATATTAAATCTTTGATGGAACAACAACACTATGTTTGGTAAGAAAAAAAAAAGGAATGTGAAATTTTTTTTTCTTTTCTTTCATTTGGCAAGAAGGAACATAAATAAATGAGTTTACTTTTTTTTTTTCTTCTTTCCAAATGTGAAATGAAAATATTCATTAAACTTAATTTAACAATTTTGCCTTTAATATTTTTCTTTGTGTTTATTATGAACAATAAAAAATGGAGAGAACAAAATTAAAGATAAAATTATAAATAAAATCATCAATTTAAGTTAAATAAGTGTTTTCCTTTCTAATTTGAAAGGGTTAGATTAAAAAAAAAAAAGAGTATGCAAATTCACTTATTTTCCTTCTTTTGTTTTTTTCTTCTTATCAAACTAAGGAAATCATAGAAAGAAAATAGTTTTTCATTCCATAATCTATTCTTCTTTATTCTTTTCATCGTATCAAATATAGTGATAATATATAACCTATGATCACAAATTTATACATCTATTGAAAAGTATCCTTATGGAAATTATAAAATTACTTTTCTTATTATTTGATAAGAAAATGACACATATCCAAATTGATTATTTTTCACTCATATAATTATAAAATATCCTTTCTTATAAATTGATTATTATGCTTTTATATCATAATTAGAAAAATATAAATTATTTATTATAATACTTTCATATCATAATTACGAAAACCCTTCACTTATTATTGAATTATGAAAGTACCCCTCTTTTATTATTGATCAAAATTACTATAATTTCCTCCTACCATAATTATTGAAATATTTTTCTCCCATAATTGATCAAAATTACTATATTATCCTTCCTACCATAATTACAAAAATACCTTTATGAATACTTAATAAGAAATTTACATGTGGTTTTTTGTTTTAAAATCAATAACATATATTAAAACAATCTCCTTGATAATTACTATAGTATCCATTTGTTTATTTGACATAATATCAAAATTACTATAATGCCCTCAATTATAATTAATCAAAATTACTACAAATCCATCTTACCATAATTACAAAATACCTCATCTACCATATTTGGTCAAAATTACTACAATACCTCTCATACCATACTTATAAAAATGCTTGACCAAAATTACTATTATGCTCCTTATACCACAACTTCGTAAATGCTCATATAAGTGCTTTATATGAAGTTGACGTGTGACATTTTATTTTCAAATTACTATAATGTCTTTCATAAATTACATATTAAATTTTAATATAATATAAAATTAATCACATATTATATTACTAAAATACCTTTACCATTAAAATAAAAAATTAAATAGTTTATATTTAAAATAAAAAATATTTAATCCCTAATGTAGTGGGGACCGCACACTAGTGTATAAAAAAATAGACCTATAATTTAAAGTCTATATAAACATCTCTTAGAGCCCAAAGAGTATCCAAGATTTCTGTCTATTAACACCTAAGTCTACCTTCTAGTTTGGAAAAGGAAAGGGAAGAAAAATATGGGGGAAAGAGGAATGGGGTCAGTGTTAATGGTCTGTTTGGTGTTGGGTCTTCTAATAGGACAATCCACAGCTTCTTTCCCAAGCTGCTACAAGGGTTGCTTCGTTTGGTGTGTTAATAACCTAGGAAATTCAGCATTTTCTTGCGCTCTCAAGTGCCTCAAGAAATGTGTCCTTCAGACCTCTCCTGTTGGCAATATCCAAGACACCCAATACTTCTGCAAGCTTGGTTGTTCTACTTCCTTGTGCACAAGTCTCAGCTCCAAACAAGATCCTAGTAAATCTACTTTCTCATATGTCTTTTTAAATAAAAAATATTTATATGAAATGGTTACTCCATGTCAATATATATCTTTTTCATACAAATCATGTCGCATAATCATATTATTAAAAAAATTAATTATTTATTATATATCATATGTGATAATTAAATTATAAATATTTTATTTTAATAAATTCATGCATATGATATGTCATAAATTACTGATTTTTTCTAATAATATAATTATAAGACATGATTTGAATTGAAATAATATATAACAAATGTGCAATAATCATTTCATACTTTGTCTTAACGTTTCATACTTTATATATATACACACACACACAAATGAGCATAAACTGATCAAGGTTTTTCTTTTCTTTTCTTTAATTCCTTACTAGGTGAAGGAAAAGTTGAAAGTTGCGTTGATTCTTGCTCAGAGACATGCGCCACCAAGAACTAAGTCACTACAATATCTAAGAGATAGTGTTTAGATTGTGATGTTTTTGATTGGTCAAATGAATAATTGGTCCAATGGAGGGAACCAAGGGTCCAATCCAAAGTTCCTAGAAATTTGCCTTACAAATTGAGACCATGTTTTTGTAACTTGGCCTCCTGAATTTAATAAAAGTTTAATTTCATATTTTATATTATTTTTTGTAAAGTGGAGAAAGGTAAATTGAAGAAGATTTTACATTTTTTTTGTACAAATAACTAACAATTACTTTGTTATGTTGGGAATATGAATTTGAAAATTTTTAATTTTATTTGTTATATAAATTGCAAGGATGAAATACACATAAATTCATATAGGTATTTCAAATTCACTATTAAATAGAGATCAAACAAATTCATGAAATTAAAAATAATCATAAAACTCATGTTCTTGAATGTATTTTACCGTACAAATTATAAAAAATTTGAAATAAATTTTATTTCAGATTCAAGGCATAATTGATGTTGCTTTTTACTTTTGACTAAAATAATAAAAAAGTTTTAAAATTTTAGAACTTAAATAAATTTTTATACTTTTATTGTATTCAAATAAACTCTTAATTTTTAATTTGAATCTAATTAAACTCTTACCTTTAATTTGTATCCAAATAAACCTTTAAACATTTAATTTGTACCTAAATAAGTCCTTAACATAAATCAATAACTTAAACTTTTAGCAAGAGGGACTTGAATTTTTTTCTTTTTTGGGAAAGAGGTATGTACACCAAAATTTATATATATACTTGGTGAGGATCTATACATGGAATATACATCAATATTGCCTTTTTTTTTTCTCAAATGAATGAGCTATACTTTACTTATGTGTATTTTGTTCTTATCTTTATTTGTCTTTCAAATATTGATGTGTGTCCCTTATATATATATATATATATATATATATATATATATAGAAGTTATATAAAAACAGTATGCTCTGCTCACTTGAAAATGAACTGAGTAAGAGTTTATACTAATTAAAATATTTAAGTTTTGACAAGTTTGACCATATGATCAGTACATCATTCATGAACACAATAATCAATTGTTTGTCATATATACGTTTTATTAATATAACAGTTTTATAGCCAATGAGTGCATTGTATTACTGATAAGAAGAAGTCCTAAAACGTTTAAATCTTGTGTTCAAATTTCACTTTCAGCTGATTAGGTGCTACTTTTCAAAGTTTAGATAGTAAATTTATTTGGACTTTAGTATAATTTATACTTTTATACCTAAATTGATGATTTGGCCAAGTATAGTGACCCATAGTAGGAGTTCTTCTTTTCATATATATATATATATATATATTACAAAAAAGGTCATAATTTGGGGCTAACTAAAAAGATTGTAGGTAGTAAGATATTATTAGTATTGAAATTTTTATTTTAAAATGACAAAATATTAAGTTAAATAAATTTAATTAAGATTTAAAAAAAAATTATTTAGTATTGTGCTTAAGTTTTATTATTTAAAGTACTAAATAAATATTATTTCTTTCAAAATTGTTATATAATTTGAAAAATATCTTGAAAATTTATTTTAGAAGTTTGGTCTTAATGTTTATCTAAAAATGCAAATTTTCAAGATTGATAATTAATCGAAAAATGTTTCTTAAGTTTAAACAAACATTGTTTATATTTTTGTATTTCTAAAACCAAAAATATTTTTTAAAGATTATTTATTTGATTTTAAATGAAAGTCTAATTTTTGTTTTAAAATAAATTTATTTATCTTGAACTCTATATAATTTTGATAATATTTGTTTTAACAAATGGAGTAATTAGAGAAAATTGTTTTGTAAGAACAAAGTTTTTGTAATATTAATTTTGATTTATTTTTTGTATTGATTTATAAAATTTTAATATTTGAATTATATATTGTTATAAAGTTATTTGATTATACTTTGTAAAGGACTAAACAAAATTGAAATCCCTAGTTTTTAAGTGAAAATATGATAATTTTGCTAAAAACTATGCAAGATATTTGAAAATTGCATAAGGGATAGATTTGGAAGTTTGCTATAATTTTTATAAATTGATTTAGATGTTTAATTTTATATTGATGGAAAGCTCATTAAGTATATTTTCTAAATCTTGAAACAGATTATGATTTGGAATTATATAACCTAAGATATGGTCAATTTAGTGAAAAGAGTGCACAATGGCCAAAACATCCACGAATGCTACCCAACATGAAAGGATCGAAGGCCTATCAAAAGTGTTCAATCCTTTAGCCTAAAATAGCTAAAATTTGAATAGAATTCATGATAGGATTGGTCCCCTTATGAACAAGATATCGATCTCTAATGCCCTAGCAACTTCTAATAACTATTTTTCAAGGAAATAACGGCTATTTTTATGTCATCAACTCAATTCCCACAGCTCTAAACTTATTTCAACTATAAAAAAGGACTCTTCTGACACTTATGAAGCTAAGAAACAACACCCTAAGAGCATTCAAATCATCTTCTAAAAAAACCAAGGGCATAAAAAAAGCTTTAGAATTTTAATTCTTTCAATTCTTGTATCTAAACTATATTTTTTCTTCCTTTATTATACTTTATACTTCATTAGGCAAATACTTAACCTTCGAGAGATATTTTATATTTTGCAAATTATTTTGCATTCAAAGGGGATTTTTGAATCAATGAGTGAAGTATCTTGAAGAAAGTTATTGTAAAAAGGATTGGGTAAAATCTTAGAAAAGGTAAAGGTCACTATCTTAACCTTAAAAGATATGAATTAGAATTTCTAAGAGAATTTTCCACTAGTGAATTGCAATCGCTAGGATAACTAAAGAAGCTGAAGTAGGTATTTTTTAAAAAAGTTCGAACCTTTATAAACCTTGTGCTTTATCCTTCAACTTGTACTCCTTTATCTTCATTATTGTCTTTAGAATCGAACCTGTAAATCACTATTTTTGTCAAAACCATTATCTTTTTTTTAGTTAACATATTTTTCAATTTATGTGTTTTATTTTCATATATATTATTTGAAATAACCTTATAAGTTTAAATCATGAACATAATTAAAATTTTAAAAATAAACAAAAGTTATATCTAAACTTTGGGTTGGACCCAAAATTTGATGGGCCAAAAGTGCAATTAGCCCTGATATATAGGCTAACCATCCCACTACTCTTTAGTTTTTTTTGTCTTTGTTTCTTATATTACCCAAACTACATTATTTAGGCCAATACATAAAAACCTCATCATAAGCCCTAGCTATAAAACCATTTTTTTCTCTTATCAGCATCAACCAACAACCACTCCATCTTTCTTTAATATTTGCTCTATTTTGGCTACTAGCCACTTGCACCGCAACCAACATTGATTTTATCGATAGTTGCTCTTTTTTCTTCCTTTCATTTTTTCCCTTTCTTCTTACTACCTCATTCTCTCCTTAATATAGTAGTGGCATCCCATTGGTGTTTGAACTTATGGTTGTTAATGGTTTCTTTACTTTTTCCATTCTCTCTTTTGCGTCCATTCCTTTTCTTTTTGTTTACCCAATCCTCACTTCATTTTTTTCCTTTTTTAAAAGAAAATTTAGGTTTGCTTTTTCAATTGTCCATGTTTTGATTTATTTTTTGTTTGATTTTTTATTTTGGTTAAATTTGATATATGGTTATGTAATTTTTTTTAACTTTTTTTTTTTTGTGTGTGTGCTTTTTAGTTTATTTTTTGAGATTTTATTTGAGTTTAATTTATAGTTTGGACTTTGAGTTTTATGATGCTTTGTTTGAAATTTTTGAGAATTTTTGCTTGAAATTTTGAAAAAACTATTGTTTCATATGTTCATTTCTATTATTATTACTATTGTTGCCACAACCATCATAAATGGCTGACCAGTGGCCATAGCTTCCTTCATTATTTACCTTTTCCCATTTTCCTCATTTCCCTCTCATCTTTCTCTTTTTCTTTTTGTTTTACAGATTACTTCACTGCTTTCTTGAACCCTTGACCTAAGTCAATGTCATAAAAACTCTTTAATAGTCTCAACAATTGAGAAAAAAAAGTTATCTTTCTTATACTTTTTGGATAACTATCACGTAGGGATAAGCTTGCAAATAAAAATATATGTGAGATATTAGGTCAAAATATTTCATTTTTCTTTTATAGATCTCTATATTATAATAGTATTTCGTATGATGGTTAAATTTTTTTATTTTTATATTAAAAATGATTATGTGGTATCATAATGATTTTGCCCAAAAATTTGACCATTAGATGATTTTTAAAAGTAGGAGTCATCACTATTTTAAGTGAGATTGGCCACTTAAAAACACTAACCTTTTCAAAACAATTTTAAAATTATTCAAAATTTATTAAAAATTTTTTGGGTTTACGAAAAACAAAGTCATGTTCAGGAGTATGGTTTTGTGTGAGAATGATTAGCAGTCTTACAATATTGGTTAAAAAATGGTGTTAATTAAACATGTGTTTTCTTTTTAGCTTTCATATAAATGGTTTTAATTTTAATATTTAAAATAATTTCTTAATTTGTTTTGTTTCAAAAATATTTTTTTCTTTATCAATTTTATTTGTTTGAAAAATTCACAAGTACCTTATGTATTGAAAAATTCTTGGAACATTCTAGTACTTTTGTAATTTTAGGAGAAATTTTCTCTCCTATAGATTTCTAAAGAAACACAACTCAAACTCCCTTAGTATCTCATCTTAGGATGCTTTTGTTCATTTACAAAATTAATATTCATACATAAAATAAAATAAGAAAATATGATGCTTATGAATAATTCATACAAGATTACTATTTTTATTTTTATAAAAAAGTTATATTTTCTTATTTTTAATAAAGACAAATAAAAGGAAATTTTTTATATTGATAATTATTTTAAATATCCCAATACTTTGGTGACATTTAAAATATTTAATCACCGAAAGATTTTTAGAATTATTACTCGAACTTCCTTAAGAATCTCATCGTCAAAAATATTTTCTCTTTTTTTAAAGAAATTTTAAATTATGATGAGAAATAAATTAATTAATTTTTCCATTTTAGAAATTTGAAAATTTATTTTTTTTAATGCTAGTTTTTAAAGAAACATATATATTTATTTTGGAAATTTAAAAATTTAAATTTGCAAGTAGATATATAGATTAATTAATTAATTAATCATAATATATAAATGTCATAACATACAACTCCAAAAACTTACCATTGGACACAAATCAAAGAGTTCCTATCAATCTTTTTTATTTAGCTGGGATTGGCTACCTAATTGAATATATCTCATTTTAAAAAGAAGTTCAAAGTTTAAACTCAAGTTTCCTGAAATAGTAGATTATAGTCTACGAAATCATATAAGGTCTGAGAGTATAGTTACATATGAAAAAGAATATAACATCCCACAATATCCATCAAAAGGCCAATACCAAATGATTCTGTGTTATCCAAAGCCTTAAAACATCTTAAAATTTAACAAATAATTTAATAGTAAAAATTGTTCTTAAAATTACTCAAATAATTTGATAGCAAATTAAGAATATTTCTTCATTTCAAGAGAATTCAAAGAGACTACTATCATTTTCTAAAAAGGCTCTATAATCAGATTTATCAAAATTGTTAAAAAAATTTATTTCTTTCCAAAATCAATAAAACCCCCTAACAATTTGGAAAAATTTATTTCGATATATATCCTCCAATAGTGTAGTAAGATTAATTCAAAATTTTTATTTTTTAAAATATCACTAAACATTACAATAATTTGATAATATTTAATTTTAATAGTCAAATATTCTAATAGTTTGGTAGTATTAATCTCCAAATTTTTATTTTCTTTGTAAAAGATCATTAAATCTTTTAATAGTTTGATAAGATTTATTTTAAGATTTAAATCTTTCAATAATTTGGTAAGATTAAAATAAAATTCATTTTTAATTCATAAAATCTTTTAATAGTTTGGTAATATTTTATTTTAACTAAATCCTCAAATAATTAGGTAGCATTAATTTAAAATATTTTTAATTAATTAATTCTAAATTTTTTTGAAATCTTCTAATAATTTGATAAGATTTGTAATTTTAAAATAATTTTTAAATTCATAAAATTTTTTCAATAATTTGATATGATTTTATGAGTTTAATTTCAAAATTCATTTTTTAACACTTAGAATTTTTTTCTACTTTTTTATTAATGAATAAATAAATTTCCAATCCAAATAAAAATAAATCAAAAAAATAAAAAAAAATACCAAAAATTTGGGACTATCAACCTTTGGTCAACGATCTGGTTCAATTCAAGTGATCCAGTTCAAGTCAAACCAGTTTGGTAGTCAGAATGACTTCAAGTCGCGATAGGGCGGGTCGACACATCGTTTCGTACACGGATCCTCTTCTAAACAAAATGGAATTATTTTGTTTGTCTCTAAAAGGCCAAAATTTTCAACTTCTCATTTTTCCCTTTACACTTTCTTTCTTTTCTTTTTATTTTAGACTCTCATTCTACGATTTTCGACCAACATTGCTAGTCACTGTGTCGCATAGGTCACTGCACCCCACTGTTGGCTGGCTTTCGTTTAATCCCAAAATTTCACTCCTGTTTTCTCTCGACCTTCTATTTACATTCTCTAACTAGATTTTCCAAAAACTCGCAAGATTTTGTAGATTAAAATCCAAAGTTGCGATGGTTGAATCTCAAAATCAACTTTCTTCCTGCTTCGATGGCTGCTACTTTCACGTATATTTTTAACCTTACCCTTCATTACTCCCTCACAAATATTGAAGACTTGAAAGCTCCTAGAAGTGGGTTAAACTGAAACCTAAAAAATCTTTTTCTGTTTTGTTTTTGTTTTACTTCTTATTTCTGATTTTGCTTCTTTTTCTTGGATTTGTGTTGCTTCTTTTGAATTGGCTATTATGTTTACTAAGGATCTTATGTTTTATTTATCCACTTTTGTATTTTCTTTATACTCAAATATTTTAATCTGTTTATGAATATGTTGATTAGACGATATATAAATGGAAAAAAATTTAATAATAAATTAATATTAATTTATAATATTTTATTTAAATTTATTATTTATATATTTATATCATATAAAATATTTAAATTAATTCATATATTTGTATCGTTTTTTATATAAAAAATGATTTGTTATGATTTTATTTGACATAAAAATATAAAATATAATTTTTTTATTTTATCAAATTCATATATAATTATTTTTAAAATTTTAAATTAAATCATATTTATAATTTTTTTATCATATTTATATCACCTTATCGAGTCTAAGGTCCAATTTTGCTAGACTTGAACCGTGTTAGTGTTGCAAAATGAAAATCAAACTGGCCTGGCATGCGGTTAATCAAAAAATGTTTTTATTTTCTTCTCTCTGATGTCCTTTTTTTTTTTTTATATCCCCCCAAAACCAGCGATTTCAACTCCCTAACGCTGTTGATCTTTCATTTCTTGCAATCTCTGCTCCTATTGGTCTTTCTCCACTTACGGTTTGCATTCAACTCTTCAGTTTCATTTTGGATTTTGAATCATTTTCCTTTTTTTTTTTTTTCTAATTTTCCGTTTCTTTTAATGTCGGGATAAAAAATGTTGGAAAGAAATGACGAATTGGTGATATTCTGATTGATGTTGCGACTGAAGTACTCTAAACCTTTTTTCCGTTTGTTTCCCTAGATATAAAAGACAAATGAAAAAAAAAATTAATTTTGAGATTGTGTATATATGCATCTGCACGCCTATAAACGCCTCCATCTTGATAGTTGCACTTGTTACAATTTCCTAGATACACCATTGCCTTTTTTGAAAGAAAAAAAAATCGATGAAACTTGGTTTCAGGGGTTAAAAACGAAGAATAACATTGTAATGTAGATACCCATGGAAAAAGGATGTGCAAGTGATGTTAATGGACAAATTTAGACTTTTTTCTGTGAAAAATGCATAAAACAAAAACAAAGATATGATCATAATGTAGTCAAGATACACAGAATAAAATATGGTTATGACACTTCTTTCCATATTAATTTTAAATTAACTCCAATTTTCTTTCCTTTTATGTTTTTCTCTTTCAATTTACTTTGTCAATGACCACGGGGCAGCTGGTGTCAAGAAAAGGAGGCTTTTGAATGGAATGTGATAGTGGACGCCGTTAATAATGGGGGCAGTCATCGGTAAAGCTGCAGATGGGATTGGAGGTGTTCTTGGAAATGTGTTAGCAGCTCCATTTAAGAGTGTTTTTGGTGGATCATGCGAGTAAGAATTTCTAATTATTGTGCTTCCTTTTGCAGCTCAGTTTTTTTTTTTTTTTTCTTTTAAGTTCTTAACCTTAGTTATAATCACGTAGCTACAAATTTTCTTTTGTGTTCAACATTTTAAGGTATGAAATAATTGGGAACTACGCATGTTAACTAATATCTATTTAGGATAAGGTCATAATTTACCCTTAAATTATAATAAAATATTTAATATAATACTTAAATTTAAAAAATTTTTAATATGATATAAGAATTATAAATCTATTAATTAATGTGATATTTATAAAATTATTTATCTGTTATGTGTTATTATTTGAAGTTAACCACACTAGAGATGAATGAATATCATATTAATTCATAGATTTATAATTTATGTAACACATTAAAAATTTTTAAAATTCAGGTATCATAATTATTGAAACTATTAAAGTAACATAATTCCTTTGCATTCCCGGAAAAAGAAATTAAGCAACTTGGTAGCGTTCTCATCTAGATTTATAATTAGTTGTCCAGCCTTGGAATCATCTTCCTTTTCTTTTACTTTCTCAATTACTTCTAGGCATTAGCCAGCAGGATAATTCTTTTGCGGTCATGTTATAGCCTTGGCCTTATGTTGAAAATTGGTCACGAAACCTATCTATATGTATACCTAGACAGGCAAAATGTACAATCTTAAACTGAAGCTGTATTTAATAACTATCCCTTAGCAATCATGTCCAAGTGAGAAAATTTTAGAATAAAAGAATAGAGTTTTCTTCCTCTGTTACCAGCAATTTGTTTGCTATGTGTTTGCAGCAATCCTCTTTCCTATGCAAGTTTTATCAATTTTAGTATATAGCTGCTTTGAAGATTGGTTTTTCATATTTGTAAACCTTCTAGCTTGTAAATTGCTTTGCTTTTCAGTTTTCCTGTATAGGTTCAAAATCGGTCTTACCTTGCAGCACTGTTGTAGCCATAGTTGATTTTGTCAAGACTGTTCTTTTTTTGTTGTTTCAATGTGTACAAACTGGTCACAATGTGCAAGTGTAAAATATATCCATCAAGGGGGGAAAAATCCTATTTATTCCTCTTTGATTGCAGTACCATTGTTATCTAGTTGGTAAGTGATATGTAATTATAGCTTAAGAGAACAGTTCTTCATGCTCTGCCTTTGCTATAATAAAATTAGTATGCTCCTTCATGTTTTCCTGTCTCTAACTCTTTATAGGTCTAGTTGCCTGTCTTTAACTATGTGACCATATGACTAAAAAGTGGCACATGACATGGCAATCAATAATATGAGTCTGTTTGATGGCTTGAATTATCAATAGCATTCTCCAAATGGGAATTTGTCTTCTGCTTACTTCATGTGGTAGGAAACGCTTCTATTTATGCTTGGCCACCGGGTACCATAGCCATGAACTGATATCTGTGCCAAAGCGTATGTTCATAAATATACATTTCTTCTTGTAGTTTGTCTGACGCGACATTCAATTCCTTGCTTTGCAGGGACATTTGTTCAGGGCCATGGGATGTAATTTGCTTTATTGAGAATCTATGCATCTCCAATCTGGTGAAGCTATTGATGATTATGGGTCTTTGCTTCATAAGTAACTACATTTTTCCTTCATACTTCGAAAAATATACCAATTTCTTTTATCATTGTTTTTTTCCCCCTTCTCTATATCTTTACCAGGTAGCATCAGAGTACATCTAATATGCTTCACTCTACTGGTTTGTGATGGTTTCCACTTTTCTGCATATAATTACATATTACAGTTAAGAATTTGATTGTTTTACTGTAATGAACCAGTAATTTGTTCTGAACACAATGTTTTAGTTATAAATCTTGAAAACAAAGAAAGGTTCCATTGGCATTCTTGTACATGATATATGTGTAATAGGAACCAAGGACATGCTAAACTGCTAGTATCTAGAGTTAAATTCTTTAGTTGTTTCTCTTAAAACCTTTTATCTAACAAAATTTTTTCTTCATATTTCTTCTTTGCTCTCAGTTTTGATGTTCTTGTACCTGTTATTCAAGTTGGGAATATGCCATATGCCAATGCATTATAAGAAGCCTTTGCAAGATATGCTGGACTGGTTGTAAAACATATTGGTTTGCACTAGAAGATATTACATGTTTCTTGTGGCACAAGTTAAAAAATACTAAGCGTGTAAATCGTCATCACCATCGTCATCGTCATTTTGAAGACATTGAAGAAGTAGGGTTCAATGATTATTATTTAGATAAGTATGATTACCGACAGCAAAGTATGTCAAAAAAGAGAAACAGAGAAAGAAATAGGCATAGATTGCAGGGCAGTCATCGTCATAAGCATAACGTAAAATTGAAGAGTAGTGAAATTTTAGTTCCTCTGAATGGAAGTTGTAGAAGGTTAAGAAATTGTCGACACCTTCAAATAATAAAAGTCAGAAAACTTCAAAAGAGGAGGAGGATGAGGTGATAATAGTAGTGGAGAAAGATTGTATTACTTTAAACGAAATAAAAGAAAAGTTGAAATTATCTCTTTTTATTTATTTAATAATAAAGAGTTTTTTAGTTTCATTTAGTACATTTTTTTTTTTGGAATCAATTCAAATAAATTTATTTATATCAACCTAACAAATTTAAGAAAACTTATGATTGCGATTGGTTAATAAAAATATTTTTTGAAAATATTTTTTTTATTTTAATTTTTACTTTTCGAAAATAATTTTTATTTTTTATTTTTGAAATTTTAAAAAACATATTTGATACACAAAATAAAATTTTGTTTTTAAAAATAAAAATTGTAAAAATGTGTTTTGTATATTCATTTTCAAAGCAAAAAATATGAAAATAATAATTAAATAATTAAGTGGTTCTTATTATGCCTTTTGCTTCAAATTAATATTTGCAGTAACAGGGGGTTTTAATTTTGAATGTTCACATTTTCGTCAGATTTAGGTGCTAGGTGATTGATTGTTGGGTTCGTGAATTCGATGGCATCGAAAAGGATCCCCAAAGAGCTAAAGGAAAGGTTGCATTTAGGCCCAAAGTGTTCCACGCAAATATCAATGGCAATGGAAGCATATGCTTACATATACTTAAAGAACAATAGAGCCCTACGCTAACCATTTCCAAGGTGCTGTTATCTATTTGTTCCCTGTTAACAACCTAAACCCGAATGATCATCCACTTGTTCCTGGAATTGCTCATATGTACAAGACTGACAGGGCTATATGAGGCAACTGCTCGTAGCTGGACTCAGAAGTACGCAATGGGTTGATGGTAATAAATTCTCCAGCAATTCATAAAATTCAGAGGTAATGAAAAAAGATGAGAATGAAAAGCTAATGGGTTTTAAGCCTGTAAAATGGAGAAAACAGCTGTATGGACAAGAAATATAAGAGGCTTTTATTTTGGAGACCTAATGATTTAAACCTAGACTCTTTAAGTATTTGTCTCAATAAAAAAGAAACCATTGTTTTCAACTTCTTTGTTTCCTCCAACTTTTTTTTTATTTTTTAATTTGGGTCTATTTTTATTTTTATTTTCTAAAAATATTTTTTAATTTTTTCAACCAACCAAGTTTCTTAACTTTTTTTTTTTCATTTTTTATGAAATTAAAAATGAAAAACCCTTTTGTTTTTATAAATCAAAGATTACCTAAATTTTCACATCCCCTCAACGAATTCAAAATCATATAACAAAAAATATATAATATATATGGTTATTTGAATCAAGCATCTTAAAATTATCTCTAAAATAATGTTCTTATTTTTTTTTAGTATATATTCGGATCTGTCGTGCCTTAGATGATATAATGGAATGTAACTCTTTTCTTATTCCATAAAATCATCTTTTTTTTTTTTCGTTTTTAAGTTTGAAACTCTCGAGACGTTCAAGTCTGTTGAATTTGCTGGAAAACCTCTTGTCGATGATTGGAATTGCTTCAAATTGCTTGTCAGTAGTATATTTTTGTTTTATTAAATAATATTTAGATATATACAAACAAAGAATACACAAATTAGTTTTTTAAATATTTAAAATTTTGTTTTAATTAAATCAAATTATGTCCCTATTCGTCGTATTCTTACAAATTTGAGATTTAATTTTAATAGTATAACTTATAAAAATTTAATTTTCGTATTTAAATAATTTGATAATTTTAATCTAATTATTAATTTTATCAACATTCTTCTATTAAATACGCAGAATCTATTAAATTTTTGATATAATCATTAACTTTTATTGATGTGATATTTTAATATACTTATAAATATTTTTTTATAAAATTTATAATTAAAAATATAATCTATCAAAAAATAACAAAAAATATTCAGAATTCATTCAAGCAACCCATAGCCATCATACAAACTCAAAATTTGACGATTTGTTGTGTCGAAATGTTATCAAAATCTATCCAAAAGCTTTTTTTATTCTCCTTTACAAATCTATCTCTTAGATTTCTTCAAAAATCCTTTTTTTGTTCAAAAATTCAAAAAACCCAAATCTTAAAATTCTAGATCTAGTGTTATCACCTCCATTGACCACCAAACTTTCTCTATGCCTTCTCCTCACTTTTCTAAATTTTAGGATTTGAAAAATATATTTTTTAAACCCTTGAATCTGAAACTCTAAAAATCCTAATTTTTACTTGCAAAAATTAGGAAACAAACTTGAAGAAAACATTTTAATTGATACTTGGTTCTTCTCAAAACCCCAACAAACTCAACCCTCAACAAGAGCTTTGTTCTCTTTAACTACAAGTTAAGGATTTTTTTCTTAGAGCTTTTTTACTTTTTTTTAATTAATTACATTTTTTATTATTATAATTTTTTTAAAAATATTTTTGAAAAATGTCACGTGGATTTGTTAGAATGACACTTGATTTATTGGAATGTCACATGGTATTTCAATAAATTCACATCATCATTTGCTTTTTTTTATCTAACCAAGATGCCACATCAATAAAAATCAACATCCACTTCAGAAAAATCAAAGAATACACTAACATTTTTAACTAAGGAATATTGATAGAATTAGAGATTAAACTAAAATTATTAAATAAATTTAGTGTGGGGATTAGATTTTTTTTGAACTATAAGGACTAAATCTCATATGTGGTTTGACTATACAAATTTATGACATAATTTAACCTTTTAATATAAGGATGAAAATTTATCAAATACACTAATGTAGACACCAAATTTGTCCGAATTTGCTGATTGGACTTTCAATTTTAAATTTGTGGCTCAAGTTTCTATGCTGAGGCCCAATTTCGATTTCTTGGGCCAAGAGCCCAAGACACAACCCATGTGAAAGCCTTTTATTTGGCTTATTTTAATTTTGTTTAATTCATTAAAATTAATAATAATAATAATAATAATAATAATAATATAGAGTTAGGCACGGTGTCATGCACAACACTATACCTTGTCCTAACTATCCAACTCACTTCTAAAACAAATTGCTTAAACCCACTTACCCTTTGGGACCCAAAGGACTTAGAAAAAAAAAAAAAGAAAGAGAACTTGCTAGAAGAAAAAAAACAACAAAAAAAAAGAAGAATAAACGCTTGTTGGAGAATACCCAAAAAAAAAGAAGAGTAAACCTTGCTTAAAAAAAATAAAGAAAAAATCCCAAGTCACCGAAAAGCCAAACACCAAAATCAAAGAAAGAAACATAATTCCTTAGAAATAGGGAACCCAACGCCATCAAACAAAAAAAAATGAAAAAAAAAAAAGAAAGTTAGACCAAAAGTTGGAAGGTTGATTTAGGGTTTAAGATGTAATTTTTAGTTAAAATGAGGTTGGATCCGAAAAGATGAGGGAAAGAAAAGAATTTTAGGGTTTTTTTTTCTCTGGTGATCAGCACGACGGTCTACAACAACCAAGACATGACAAATGATGAGGGTTTTTGGAATTGGTCATCCCTCGGGTATTTTTGGTTGAGAGGTTTTTTGACTTTTTTTTTTTTTTGGAGAAAAGGGAAGAAATGAGTTGAAAAAAAAAGAGGCTTTTATATAAAAGGCAAGGGGTAAAACGATGCCATTTTAATCCCTTTGTATCTACGTGTTAACTTGCAAGTTGACCTATAACCCACGCACCTACACCTGACCTGGCTCCCTCTTTAACCCCTAGCCAGTCTAGTTGAATCAATATTGACTGGGGCACTAACCAGTGTAATTTAAGTTTTTTTTTTTTATTTTTTAATTCAATTTTTTTAATATTATTTTTATCATTTTAAGTTTTATTATTATTATTATTATTATTATTATTATTATTATTATTATTATATATACATGTTTAAAATTTTAAACATGCTAGAATAAATATTTATTTTTAATAATAATAATGATAAAAATGAAAACAAAAACAAATAAAAATAAATAGTGAAAAATAAAATTTAAATTTTGATAATTTTAAATTCCATTAAAACATTAAAATAAATCTTATAAAGTAATATAATAAAATGAATAACTAAAGATAATAATAATAACAATAATAAAAACGAAAAATGATTTTAAAACTTTTGATAATTTTAAATTCGAAAAAAAAGAAAAAAGAATAATAACCAAAAAAATAATTAAAATAATGAAAAAGTGTAAGAAAAGAAATTTTTATTCGATGATGAGATTCTAAAGTACTTAAAGTAGCAATATCTATGAAATCTCTAAGTGAGAAAAAAATTTTTAAACGCTACCAACATATTTTAGCATTTATAAAAAGTTTTCAATACAATATTTTTTTTAAAAAATAAAAACTAACTAAAATAAGAATAAAAATAATAAAAAAAGATGGAAAATGAACTTTTGCTTGATGATGGGATTTTAAAGTATTCCGAATAGTGATGCTTTAAAAATCTCTATGTGAGATTTTTTTTAAATACTAATAGTGTATTTGAGTATTTATAACTAATTTTTAATATAATAAAAATGTCTATTTCTTTCAAAAAATAAATTTTAAAAAAATTGATAAAATTTTTTAAGAAAAATAAAATGTGTGCATTAATATATTGTCGTTTGCATGGCATGCATGGTATAATTTTTATAAAAAATAAATACAAACCTTTAAGGATAAGATTCTAAGGTATTTTAATAAGTAATACCTAAGAAATCTTTATGTGAGATAAAAATTCTTTTAATATTACCAACATATTGAAATATTTTAACAATTATTTCAATAAAAGGGTTCTAATTTATTTTTTTGAATAAAAAGGAATAACAATAAAAAAATAATAAAAAGATAATAATAAAAAACCAAAATTCAATAGGTAAAGGAAGTCAAGGAAATTATTTTTAAACATAAAAACTAAGGCCTTTCTTATCAAGATTAAATGATAATACGTAATTAATTGGTACCATTTTAAACAGACGTTGTGGGGGTGCTAATCCTTCCCCACGCGTAACTGACTTTCGGATTTAAACTTTTTCACAAACCCTAAAATTATTTTTTTAATACATCTTAATTAATTTTAAAATTTTATTAAAAAGATGTATTTTAATATGTGACTAATTGCACCTAACCAAAAAAGATTAGTGGTGACTCCATTTTTTCTTTTTCATTTTCAAATTCGTCGGGCAGTTCCAAAATCGTTACAATAGTTTAGCGACTCCATTGGGGATGCCATTTTTTTTAGAGTCAGGCCAAAAATTAATTACATGTTATCTTTAATTTTAATTTAAATAGTTTTAATTGGTATTTAATTGCAATTTCCTAGATTTCGATTTTATTTTTTTCAATAAAAAAAGAAGCAAAAGAATAACAAACAAATCAAAAACAAAAAAAGGAAAAATTTCACTCACATTTTAACTATGCTTTTTGTTCATTTTTTATTTTATTTTATTGTATATATTATTCTCAATAAATTAGGAGACATTTGCACACATAATGACACGTTGCACTTCATGCATGAGCTCTATACTTGGGCTTCATCCCTTATAGGAGCAAGTCAAGTACTTATACTCTTATGATGTGATAACCTTTGTAATGACAAATGAAATACTTCCATTCAAATTGAAATCTTTTCGTTTGTAGCCTATAATGAGTAAGGATTAGGGTGCCTTACTAGTCTAACATAGACAATAGTAAGGAACAATTTGAGAACCTCTAGATGTATGTCAATCTAAACTAAGCATGTAATAAGCCATAAGAAGCTAACCTTAGGTAGAGCTTTACCCACCTTGTTATAGAAGCTACCTAATTCCAAAACATATAGAAATAAAAATCTTGTGTAAAAATAAAAACAAAATGAAACGAAAACGAGAAAACAAAAACAAAACAA